GACGCTGGGATGCAGTCATGATGGCTGACTACTGTTGGACTCTTAAGAGAGACATTCCTGCCGCTAAGCATTCTAAAGGTTCATGCCCTGAATTTTGAATAATGATGATGTAACATTCAGTTTACATGTACTTAACACTTGGTTAGTAAGCTGTGAGAGAAAACGAGTTTTTTTTTTTTTAATAATATATTTCAGATGAGAATTATTAATAAGAATCAGCCGATAATATCACAAAAATGTAATCGATTTAGTAAGAAAATCAGTTTTAATTAAAAATCAACCTTGACCTGAACAAGAGAAATGGATGTCATTTTTGGATTCAGCGATGCAAAATTGTCTTAAAATTCATACACAACTTACATTTTTATTTGTTACTCAGTGTTATCTGTCTATCAATCTATGCTTTACCATACGTATATTGCATATGAGAAAGGCTTTATTCATTTAACTACCAGAAGGCAAGTTGAGAAGGGGAAATGTACAAGAGATCATATCTTTCTAAGAGCCGGCGAAATGGATTTCCCAGGACGGAAGTTAAAGACGCATGGCTTTGACTTCCGCTTAGGGTAGGAGGGACGATGACCTTTTCCATAAGAGCTTAACAGGACGCCGTTAAGGAGCTGAGAGGGTTTAGAAGTAGTCCAGGGCAAGGGTGTTCAAAGGTATCCCCTGTACACTGTGTTATCTTCCTGTCTATGAACTCATATTTTTCCTTCTTTCTTTCCTTTCTCACTCTCCGATTCCCGTCCTCCTATGTTATCATTTCATCTTTCAGTCCCAGCCTCTGACTCGGCGTTGACTGCGCTGGCCTTTTCATCTTATTACATTTCAGCGTCCTTGCAAGAACTCCAACCCTTCACCCTATTACAAAGGGTGTGTGTGTGTGTGTGTGTGTGTGTGTGTGTGTTGATGATTTACGTATGATGATGGTGATCATCCTTATTATTATCATTGTTATTATTCCTATCATAATTTTCATTATCATCATTATTACCACTATTATTATCTATATACTTGTTATTTTTATCATTATCATCATCTTCATCATCACCATTATTATCATCATTATTATTAATATTATTGTTATAATAATTATTATAACCATAATGATTTATTACAATTATAGATATCATTAAGAGAATTATCATTAGTAGTAGCAGTAATATCATTAATATCAAGTAGTATAGTTTTACCACTTGTCATTCTTGTTATTATATTACATAAAAGCATCGTCTTTACTTATCTCTGTCTTGCTTCTTGTTTAACCCTCGTACCCAGATTTCAGCTAGGAGAGTGGATTTTGCTTCCGTTCCAGTAATTTCCTTTTACATTTCTTTGCAACATGGAAAAAACTTTCTGGATATTAATTCCATATCGTAGAAATATATTGGATCTCTCATGGGAATTTAGATTCAATATTTCATTTTCTGGTTAGCGTTTTGGCCTCAGAGACAGGCGACCGGCGGAGAAAGATTCCTACACTGGCACTAGAAAACTTTTCTAGTCCAGATTTCCTTCGCGACGATACTCTCGGGGGGTACTAGAAATGTGTGTGTGGAGGTTGAAGGGGTTAATGCTCCTGAATAGGTAGATGGTCTGTTATACGAATGCATTTGATATATAGAAAGAGAATTTCCGAGTAAGAGATCTCTTCCAGTCGATGCTTCTGCCTCTGACTATTTATGTCTGCAACAGTCTAAGTGCCCATCACAATGGAAGACCGCATTTGTCAGCGCCATCGGGAAACCCCAAGCCCCGCCTCATTCAGCGAACTATGACCAATTGCCATTACTCCGTTGCCCAGCCTGCTGTGTGAAAGCTATGTCGCCGACTGGGCTTACCAGGACCTCGCGCCCAGCGTTGACACTCGGCACTTCGGCAACAGGCGCTCCTCCTCTACCGCACACAGCCTTTTCAGCTTCCTCGACTTCGTTCACGCCCATCTCGACAAGCGCAAATCCTCCGTCACCAGCATCTTCATAGATTTCAAGAAATCCTTCGACCTGGTGGACTACATCATGGTCATTTCAAAAGCAGCAGCTTCCACGGGCATCAGGGAGTGCCTCATCCCCTGGCTGGCAGACGTTCTCTCCAACAGGTAACAGTTTCCAGCCTTCTGTCACTCACGTGCGGAGTCCCCAGGGGAACTAGAATGAAATCCCTATGTTTCCTTATCATAATTACCAACGTTCTCCTGGATACCGAACATCGCTGGAAGTACATGGATGACTCGACCACCGCCGCCGCCGTTGACAATGCCTGCCCTGACCACTCCGCCATCCAGCGCGCCCTCGACAACGTCCTCACCTGGACCACCGCAAATCACGTCACTATCAACCGCCAGAAGTCGGTCGTGATGCAGATCGCCTTCTCCACCAACCCCGCTCCCGCGCCCATCCTCACGCTCAACGACCACCCGCTCGACGCAGTCCGTTCCACCAAGCTACTCGAGGTCTCCATCGACAAAAAGCTCTCCTGGACACAGCACGTCAGAGACAAA